CTGCTTCATACCTGTGTCTTCAGCAAAGGGAAGTTTCCAAAAAACTCTCAGGTAGAAACAACATCATGGTGCTCATCTGAGCATGTGAAGATCCATTTTCCTGAAGCAGCAGATGCATTTCCCCTGTGGCTAACTCACCTGCAAGCACCTCGCAGCTTTGTACATCAGCTGCAGGCAGTGCTTCAGTGGACGTAACAGGCAGGCAAACATGAAAGGCAACTCTGCGACCCCACATAAACTATGGGATTACTTGGAGGTACCATTAATGCTTTCCTGGAGTGAACATGGAGGTGAGGCACCTGACAGGAGTGAGGGATGTGCTAGGTCAGCCAATGCGATGTCAACATGCTGGAGTGCACCCCTCAGCATCACTGAGCATCACAGTATCACTCAGTATCACTGCCACTAGAGCACATCCAGAAGATGCATGGAAATATTAAAGATGTTCCTGTCCAAAGATTAGAATTGATGTAATAACCATTGAGGTTCTTCTTTAAATCACTCTGGTCAGGTGTTAATACAGGATTGCTGTTTCCAGGTAATGACTCCCTTGGGGTGCCCAGCTGACATGAACAGAGATATGAAGAAGAAACAGCAAAGGACAGTCTGTTAGAGCCAGAGGGAACATAGGATCTAGGAGAGAGCAGATTTGGCCAAGAAAACTGAGGAACAGGTAAGTGTAGGGATGTTAAGTTACCAATCACAGGTTAGCAGCAAACAGTGCTCAGAACACAGAATTCCAGTAGCTGAGGATGGAAGGGACTCAGTCAGCTCATCCATGCTTTGAAAGGATTTCTTTTTACGGACTTTTTAGTAATTACTTACTTTAGGAGTGATGGAGAGAACCATCAAAGAAGTAATTTGCTGTGTTAGCTCCACTTTGCATACTAAGACCAAAATCAAGGTCTTCAAAACAACTCATTTGCTTCTAAAACTTGAAACCGCTTAAAAGATCATGGTCCTGAGGGACCCACCTTCTCAGTTTCTGTTTCTGGCTATGTCCAGGAGTGCCCAGATGTGCACTTCAACATGTGGCACCCAGCTAAGCCACCCTCAGCCACTGAACTAGAGCCGACCGACAAATGAAGCATGCTGATGCCATCCCTCAGTGCTGCACCATGGATCACAGGTCTTGTACGTTCCTTGCCTTCTGCAACACACCAAATCAGGCATCTGAACCGCCTCTGTCAGGTCATCCCAGCTCACCCAGCTCTTGCCCTTCCCTGTGCCTTTTGAGTCATCCTCTTCCTCTCACACTGACCATGGGATAATTCCACCTAGGGCAGCTGATCAGCACCAGGAAGGGTTGAGCTCCCGGTGTCTCACTCGTCAGTGTCTTGGTCTGCTGAAACACGTGCTGAGAACAAACCCAGGAGACTCCATGGTCCGTCACCTTGCCCAGGCACGTGGTTTCTTCTTGCTGGTCCATTCTGTTAGAGAAAAGAAGAAAAGCTAAAAGAAGGAGAAGCTGCAAAAGTCAGGGCACTGAAGGGAGGGAGAGGCATGTTTTCCATGTGATTGCAATGCTCCTTTCATGGAATGCTGTTAGAATAAACCCAAGGATCCTTTTAGATGCCTTGGCACCTACAGTGGTTGGGTTTGCAGTACCCCGATGTTAGCCCTATACAGAAGGACCTTTGTAGTGACATTGTAAAGGCAACATGGCATTTCTTGAGCAGCCAAACCTCCCGATTCTTCCACTTTTTCATTTCTGGACACACTGAAATTGGTCACCACGAGTCAATATTGCCAAAGCAGAGAGGCCGATAGAATTGCAAAGACTCTCAGTCAATAAAACTGTCAGTCAGCAGCACAAGGAGGTATCTATAAGTGAAAATTTGAAATTGTACTCTTTTGGATAACTCTCATTTGCTTTTAGAAATTACATTTAAAATTAATGTTTGCTGTAGAACTTATAAATATTTGTCCAGGGCAGCATGAAATATCCCCAGGATAATTTTAGTGTGTAAGCATCAGATTTTCATTTCACAGCAGAGAAGACTGAGAGTGAGTCTGTTCATTTCACAGACAACATAGTCTTCTGCCCTGTGAGACAGGCCATACTCCTTGGTGAGATGTGCCTGCCTTTCCAAGGGCCTGGGGATCCAGGCTGGTACAACCAAAGGCACTACTGAAACCTGCCATTGCTCTATATCAGTCATTCCAGTGGGAGAAACTTGGAGGCAGGAATCACGTGTGAACAGGGTTGGGGCAGTGAGGACCTTCTACTCGCACGATCTCACAGGATCTCCAAGCCAAAGCAACTGCAGACGTGCTTGAAACACAGTTCCCAAAGGGGAACATGAGTTCCTCCTGATGCTGGGACAGTCCATGATCAGAGCAGACAAAGGTAGCAATGGATGGAACAAATTTAAAGATATGAGAGGACAAAGGACCTGAAAAACTTCATCAGAAATCTGTCAGAGTTTAGAGTGTTGGGATCAAATCTTTAACATCTTTGAAAACCTGTCTGTGGCCTCACCAAGGTGATGTTGGGCAGTTACTGGGGTGTGGATGGGTGCTTTAGCATCTGTACTGCTTTTGCAATGCAGCCTTTCCCAGCACAACACTGAGATCTCTGCCCAACACACACCAGCAAAGTCTCTGGGATTTGGGTCTTAGGTCACTTTTGCCCACTTGGTTCTCAGGAAATGAAGCATTTTGTTGCTAGTTATTGGCTTGATTTATCAATCCTAGCATCAAGCAGCACAATATAAGAGCACCAGGTATTGCTCCCCAATGTCTGATGGACAGGAACATCTCAGCCACCCAGACCTTGGGGATGGTCTCCAACAAATCATTCAATTCAGATTTCAAAAGCTGTCCCCAGTTGGATTTCTGCAGTGGTCAGGATTTTTAAGCCTCTTCCATGGGATGTCAGTCGTCTGTACCATCACCTGAGATATCTCACTTCAGCCTCTCCTTTTGCTGCTTCTTTAATAGTTTGCCGTTTTAACGACCGAATCTTGCTCTGTACGTTTAAATCTTCTTAAGGTTGTGTGGCTCCAAAACATCCCCCAATAGAGGTACAAACCTGTATAAGAATTTCAGGTCTGCTTTTGCTATTTAGACTTACAGGCTGCTTAGTGGCAATTTGGGTACTCCATGGCTTACTTTAACCAGTAAGTTAAAAGTGCCCGTGACCATTCCCTGGCACTGGAACCAGAGAGACTGGGACACAGGACCACCTTCATCCATCCTGCTAAACTCATTTAACCCCCAGAAGAGATAGGTCACATCTTAAGGGGCTGTTTGGAATAGTTCCTGTTCCACACTCATCCTAAATTGTGACTCAAATCTCTTCAAGGCTTTGCAGGTTGGCAACATCAGGCCCATGCCAGGCTCCATGTTTCATAGCTAAAACCACACACAATATAGTTCAGGATCTGGGGAAGATTCTCAGGCAATGTTTAATTTAGTGGATCTTATTAAATCCATTCATCTCCAATTCTCATTTGAAAATCATTGCATTCTTAAACCCAAGTGATTGCATTCAATAAAACGTAGCTGGAGGCCAGGTGAGAGATTTGCCAGGATAGACTACACCCAATATACCCTTTGGGATCTGAAGTCACATGAGAGGAACAAGCCATATTTAACATCTGTAATGGGTCATAAGCAGCTGGAAAACCCATCAGATTAAGCCTGGAGAAGCTTGGCCTTGTAGTCCTTGCAGCAGATTCAGGGTCTGATGAAGAGGTAAAGGGCAGAGCGGATGTCTGGTGGATGTCCTATCTTGGATGTATGATGGCCAGGAAACAAATTACCACTTATGAGAGCAGCTCTCCACTAATTCAGTGTGCAAATACATTAAAATCCATAAGAACTGGGAATCAAAAAAGACATGAGGCAGGCGCACCCTGGTGATTAAATAGCATCAAGGAGTTCATTTATACCCAGAGCCTTAATATCAGGAGCTATATTGGGCTGCCCAAGATAGGACCTTGGACTTCTGTTATAGCCATTCCTCCGTAATAAATTTCTTTGTTGGCTACTCCTAAAGCTCCTAATCTCCATCTTACAAACTGGGCAGCTCCACTTCAGGCAATGCAGCTGTGATTGCTGAGGATGCTTTAGGAGCAAAAGCAACTTCCTTGACTTCTCCCATTTCTTTGTCCCATTCTGTTGAGTGATCCCCTTGATCCGCTACTCTGACATACCAGCTCCTGTAAAAACAGCGTCTCTATGCCATAACAAGGATTTTCAAGGACAATCTCTGTTGGGTCTACCTGCAACACACAACCTCTTTAGAAAGGTGATACTGCTCGTGATTTTAATTACACAGGTGGGGTTTGGATCATGCTTTCATCTTTCTGCATCCAGAGATGTACTTCACAAGAAATTCATCAACGGGACATCTTCCCATCTGCCTGCTCCACTCTTGCCATGCATTGGCACTTCTTATCGATAGAAATCCAGGCTGCCACTGCTTCCCCCTCCATCCATCCCACCCGCACACTTAGATAAACCTGAGCGGTGCACATTTCATTTACATTTACGACCAGATTTGATCACATCAATGCTTTCAGGGGGTTATTCTGCCTCTTCAGTGCTCCCATTAGCTCTGCCTCCTGCAAGGGTTAATGTTCACCTCCCTTTCCATCTAAAGAACAAGTTGTCTATCTCACCCCCACCGTGAGATTAAGTGCAATCGCAGTCACCCTTCGTCCTTACCTTGCAAAGCCTTGGCACGCCAAACCACAAGCAAAGTCGGTGCATCCTGGGTTTCTAAGTGAAATTAAAAGCAAAAAAAATAGGGTTTCAAAGTGAAATTAAAACCAGAAACTAAAAAAAAAAAAAAAATTATAAAAGAGCAACAATAAAAACCCAAAACAACCCAACCCAACACCCAAAATCTCAGTGCCCCAGAAAAGTCTCTTGCAAAGAGGGTTTGTCTGTGGAAGCGAGGAACAAAGTTGTGGGGTGGAGGGGGAGGAGAGCGTGATTGACAGCCCTGAGCTGAGACTCATCCCTTACCTTGGGCCATGCGGTCTGATTGGCTGCCTGCTGACATCCCCAAGCCCTGCACTTTTTAATAGACGCTTTTGGATGATCTACAGGGAAAAGGCTTGGAGAGGTGTGTTTCTGACAAGGCAGAAAGTCACCCGCACTACCAGGGACTTGCTTTAACTCTTGTGTTTTGAATTGATTTCTATTGGGTTTGTTTTTTTTTCCTGGGAGGAGGGGGATTCTTCATTTTCACACTTCATGTTTTTCTGAAAACTTCGCTGAGATTCACCCCTTGCACCAGCCTGGACTAATGGATTACCACCTGCTTGGACTAATTTTGTCTTTTCTCTTCAATGGCACAAAGGTCTTAGCCGGTTACCCAATTTGGTGGTAAGATTTCTTCCCTCCCCCCCCTCCCCTTCCCCTCTTTGATTAATGAATTAATGAATTATTAGCTATGGGATCTGTGTGGATGCGTGTTCCTTCCTTCCCACCCTTTGCCCTGCTGAGCTGGCCACAACTGCATGTTTGATTCTAAGCATAATTTCTTCCAATTTGGTAAAGAATGGAAAGTTTGGGGGTTATTTTGAAAGGGCAAGGTTTAGCTTTCCCTTTGCACAAATGGAGTCTTCCCCACCACTCTTTAATTTCTCCATTTTCGTCCCTGTAGCCATAGACATTTGTTTCGGATGTAAAAGGATGCGGTTTTATTTTCTCGTGCAATAGGAATTTTGGCTGTCGTATGACTGCGTAGCAGGGATTTTCTTAATTCCCTTAAATTGCGATCAATCCTTAAAAAAATACCCCATTAATTCTATATTCTTTTTGGCTGCTACAGTTTTTGGACTTCTTTTTCTTCTTTTGTTGTATTCTGTCATGTGAATTTAGTCCGGCAAATAAGCTGAGAACGCAAATGGCACCTGAAGAAAATATTCCTTAGTAAAATTCCTCCAAGATGGATTTTGTTCCTTTGAATGATGGAATTGTCACTTCGCTCCTTGCACCAACAATAAAAATCATCTTTAAAACAATTGGCTCTATCTTATAATGGGCTTGATAAGTAACCTGAGTTAGTTATTTTGCAAATAAAGATGACACTCGATGCATAAATATATGAACAAAATGTAATCGGAACAAAAAAAATCCAGAATCAAATATTTCAGGTCATTGAAACACAGCAGACAGCGAGTTGCATAACAGAAGATTTCAGTTAATTTCTCTCTTTCTCGTGTGGGATTTCTCATTGGAATATATCTCATTAAGTTTCTGTATGTGCCAGGTAGGGGCTGTAGCCTAATGATCTATTATGGCAAAGAGGGAGATGCTGGAATTAGGGAACTAAGATTCTTGGGCTGTTTTCACCTTTCCAGAAAAGTCTTTTCTATTATCACTGGATTATCACCGAATTAGATCCTTTCAGTGCCAACATGGAGATGGCAAGAAGTAGGTGGGAGTGAACTTGGGAATGGACTGCCATGTCTGGGAATATTTAGAAAGCAAAAAGGGAAAAGCTGATTTTTTTTCTTAATAATCTACTTATTACCGTGGATTTTGAGCATGAAAATGTGCATTTCCAGTAGGGAAAGACTGGGAATACAATGAGAAGTCCAAGCTCAGGAAGCATTTAAAAGCTACGCAGGTTCATGAAATGGCTAAATCACAGCAGGTTTTCCTGAAGAATTAAATGATTTCCTCGCTCTGAGTGTGGCTGCCTAACTTCAGGACCTAAGCCTGGGGCAGGGGAGCCTACTGAAACAGAGGCAGCATCACTTTGATTCCTTCCATTCCTTTTCCCCTTCATCTGGGGACCGGCATGGCTGAACAGGGGCGCGCGGTGGGTTGTAGACCAGGTCAAAATTGCATGGCTGGATCTAAAGGCAAGAATCTGCATGGGGCAATGATACCTTGCTGTGACATCAGCTCTCCCAGGGTCTCACCAGCTCCTGCCCTGCCTCAGGCTTTGATATAAAACAGGATTTAACGCCTGAATCAAGGAGGGGTTTGACTCATAGGGTGAGGAACCGAAATCTTCTTGATGAAAAGATTTGGGTTTTTCCCCATGAAGCAAAAACATCCCCATGAACAAAATGTCTCTCCCTGTTTTGAGGAGAAGATGCTGCAGGCAGGTGGCTGCCCCAGGTCCTGGCCTTCTCCAAAATCCCTCCAAGTTCAGCCCAAATGAACAATACAGAGGACATGTAAGACAGAAAGACCGGGGGCACGGCAAGCAGTATCTATGGGAAAGGAGGGAGTCGAACAAGCTGTCTGCAGAATTCCATTCAATAGATCTGCATCGTGCATGGGTTTCGGAGATTCTGGCAATATCAAAGTGCCAGAGAGTCTCTGCAGCACTGAAAAGATGTGTCGAGATGCCCCACTAGGGTTGAGGGCCTTTCATAGGGTTTTAGAAGGGCTTTGAAAGCTGAGGGAGCTGAAGAGCAGAAATATCTGGGCCAGGGCTCCCCGACTGCTCAGGCAGAGACAATGCTTCCCATAGCACACAGAATTAAATATCTCCTTCAGTCCTACTGTAAGCTTTGAATTACAGCTCTGTGGGTCCGGGGTCTTACGTGCACTGTGCTCTAGCATGATAAACACTCTTTCAGAAAGCATCCTTTTCCCGTTGCCTTGCTGATCCTCTGATCTATAGGTAGGCATGGAACTGACTTTGGGGGATGAATCCTACTTGCAGGGTTCAATATGCCCCAAAACAGGAGGAAGGAAGCAAAGACAAGGCAGAGCATCAGCCCAGTCCCCTGCACTGGGCTCCTGCACCCCTCCAGGCCAGACTGGACTAGAGCTCATCAGTGCTTCCTTATCCTCAGCTAAACCCATCTCTGCTGAATACAGGACCTTCAGGAAGACTGCTCTTCTTGCAGGACCCAAGACTGCTGACAGATAGTGCTTGGTCCTGCTGGTGCAACCTTCCTGGGTATTTTTCTATTGTATAGGAAATATTTTGGCAGCAAAATCAAAACAGCTCATTCCTGCTTTGGGACAACTGGGAAAAACTTCAGAGATGAGGAAGCATCTGAATGTGCACAAGGAAAAGAGAATGAAGTGAGAATGAAGCCTCATCACCTTGTAAATGGGTTTAGGGGCAGCTGAAATAATCCAGCTGCTCCATAGTGCAGTCAGACAATGCCAGGAAGCACGACACCAGTGACAGTATGGTGGAAGGGATAAAAGCACAAAGATGGTGCTGCTGAGGCTTTGCTCTGAGTTGTGTTTTTATTGAGGAGCCATGGAAGGATGCTGCACATCTGGTTGTGTTATCTAGAGCACAACCCAACAGCAGCCCTCCAGCTTGACACTGTCATGAGGCCATTGGCCTCAGTGGTGAAACATTACGTGCAAGGCAGCGAGGCTTTTGGCACAGGGAGGAGGGTGGCATGAAAAGGGAAGAACTTTGTGGTGCGAATACAGATGTGCAGTGTCCAGGCTGGTGCCAGCAGGAAGGTGGAGCCACTGGGCTGCAAAGCCCATCAGTCCAGCCTGATGGATTGCTAACAACTCCCTGCCATGCTGTCCCCAACCAACTGGCGTTTCCCCGGTCAACACCTGAGCAAGGTCCAGGGGTATCATGGAGTGTAGACGTAACCTTCCGTGAGCAGGGGTGGTATTTTGCCACAGGTCCAACCCTTCTTCATGTGCTTTCATCCTATTACAGCAGTGAAAAGGAACAAATGGGGCACAGATGGGAAAAGGTCACCTAAATGCTGCCTGTGAGAGGGCTGACAAGAGGAGCTGAAGCCAACAAAAGCTTTCTCTGATCTGTGTCCAACACACTTGGTCTGGGTTGCTGCTGCTAAAAGAGAGGCAAGGAAGGAAGAGATGGAGAGATGTAGTGAGGCCATGGAGAAGGGAACTGCTGCTCTTCCTGATCCTTCAGGAATGGCATGGATGGAACCAAAGTGTGCAGGGGAGCAGTGGTTAGTATCACAACCATGGGTCATGTCAAAAGCCTTGCCAGATGCCAGCAGAAGGGATGGTAGTGACAGTAATCACACTTGCAGTCATGTTTTCAGTCCCAAGTACTCCAGTGGCAGCATGGACAACAGAACATGTCTGAGCCATTGGAGGTCCAGCATTTAGATGGACTGATGGATGGAGCCAGAGCTTTCTGGTAACGTCCTGAGAGAATTCAGATGAAAATATAGCCCATGGCCAGACCCTGACACCAGTGCAGGCTAACAGAGATACTATGGCCCAAGAAACAACTCGAAACCACTCCCAGGATGCCAATACATGGGCAGGGGCTAAAAAAGACAATGAGGGAGAAAACTCCACCCATGGACTGAGAGAAAACACCAAATGCTTCCCTCTTCCATGAGCATCGTTCAACAAGAAGTCTTGAAACCCTCCGGTGTGTCCCTCACCTGGAGAAAGGAGCCAGACTGGGAGTCATTGGTGTAAACAGGGAGTAAAAAATCAGTCCTACTCCTCTCCTGGTTCCTCAAGACAGAGTAATAACAGGTCACTGCCTATAACTGTGACCCTCATCAAGTGCATCTTCCCATCCAGCATTCAGTAGCCTCTAAGCAGATGACTTGAAAGAATGGATGGCTTTGGCTGTCATGTTATTAAATCTTATTTCTATCCCTCAGAAATCCTTTCAGGGGAAGCTGAAGGCTATGGCAGCTGGCTGCGGATCCCAGTGGCCTTGGGCCCCTAGGAAGAGGCAGATAGAAACTTATAAACATGTTCTCACTGGCCCCAGAGTTGCTTCCTCATTAAGAAAACCCTGTAAGTGAAAACCATTTGCATGCAGATGTAGTCTGAGGTGACATGTAACTTGTCTGCTTTAGCTTTCAGCATCTCACCTTGCTGGGATGAATGGGAGCCTTCATTCTCTTGGCACTCTTGGGGTTTTTTCGTTCTCTGAAGGTTCAAAACATCTATATCCTGGAGCTGTGTTTTGCTATAGGCATGTGGCCCTTAAGGCTTTATTCAAAAGGAGCAAAATAGCATCAGAACATGAGAGTGGGTTTCCTGATGCAAATCCAGCTGCTGTAGCACCAGAAAGGAGGGAAAAGACCCCTTGTATAAACTTCCTACAGCTTAAAATGCATTCAGTTCTAGGGAAAAATGACGAAGACAGTGGTGGGGTTTGTCAGGGACAGAGATGCCAGCGCTTGCCACGCAAGCCCAGAGGTGCTGCTCTGGCTCCTGGTTTGGCTCCACCAGCAGCCTGTCCTGGCACACGAACCTCCGACCTGGAAAGGCTGACACACAACCCCCCATCCTCTCCTGCTGACGCTGCTGAGGGGTGTTCACACCCGCCGGCGGCTGTAGTCTGCATGTGCCAAAGCCTGCCTGAAGGTACCCGGCAGTTGCGGTGAGGCCGGCGGTGATGAGGAGAGATGCTGGGGTGATGCGCGGCTCCCGAT